TATTTGTATGTGTTAAACAAAAATTTAGTATCATATTTCGGTTTAAATTAGTAAATATAAATACAAATAAAAATAATAAACAAAGAATGTCAAGTTATATACTAATTTATTTAATATATATATCTATTTTTAGATAGTAGATCTTATCTACAACAGATTTTAAGCGAGTATAATTAACAGATTATTAATCCTATATTAGTTTAGTATTTATAAATATAATCAGAAAATAATACCTTTAAGAATTTAAAAATTTAAATATAAATAATAATTAAAAATAGAAAATTTAAACAGAAAAACTTGACACTCGAAATGGAACAGATATGCCACAAGATAAAGGTATCTGATAAATACTTATATTAATGGTGCATTTTAAAAAATCCCCTTGTTTATTATATTTAATTTATACTAAGTAAACCCACAATGATATCCCAATGAAAATATCTCCATGCATAACAATGTTTTTGTTTTAATATAATTTATAAGAAGATAATCACATTCAATACATAAGGTTAACTTTGTATTTTAATCCTTTATCTAGTTAGAAACATTACTTTTAAAATTACAATGTAGCTATTTTTTGATAAAATTTGTTATGAAAAAGTCGAGATATTGCGATTGAAAATCAAAAAAAATTTATTTCATAATTATAGCTAATTTAAGTTTTTATGAGACTGTAAACGAACTTGGTAATTTTATTAATAAATGAATAAATAAGTATAGTTATCCTTTTCAACAATAATAATATAACACCAGTTATTCATCATCATAATAGTACATTCAATTCAGTGATATGAATACCTCAGAATAAGATAAAAACTTAAAAAATTAATTAACTAACCAATAAAAAGTGTTTAGTGTGACCATATATTGACCGTATAAAAAAAAATTAATACCAACGGAGAAATTTCCACCAATAAATCAGTTAAACCTATATATGAAAATAATAATTTTAAATTAAAATTTAATTTACATTTTTGAATTTGTGAAATAAATTTTATAAATAAATATATTTAAATATTAATTTTTGTTATCATAATACTTTATATAGATATATTAAGATATATAATTATGTATTATTATTATTATTATTTTATTTATTGATTTTTTTTTTTTTTTGAGACTCACATCTATCAAAACACGGAAACATCCTTAGTGGTAGACATTGCAGTGTAACTTTAAAATATCAACATTATGTAAATAATTCCAAACTGTTAATTAAATATTCATTATTATAATTTTGAATTGAACCTTGGTATTCTTCCATACAAAGTCATTTTTTGATGAATCGAACTTATTTATTCCACACATTGTATGTTCAAATAAAGATGTATAGCAATATACATTTTAATGATGACTAGTTAAATATCATTAATTACAAAAAACTATTTTGAAGAAGATGTTAAGTATTCAATAGTTATAATACATATTACACAGGTCTTTGAACTTTTTATATTTTAAAATAATAAATTAATACATTGATAATAAATTTTCAATCATATTTAGATATGATTTTTTAATGCAAGTAAATTGTTATTTGTACACATATATACATACACAATAAACACATATATATGATGTATAAATATGTAAATTAAGCATTTTAATTTGAATAATATTGATAAATAAAATGTAACAAACCGGTATCTTAAAATATTCTACATTTTATAATAAAGGAACACTAAAGATATTTTTTTAAAAACAATTAAACATGCATAAATATTAAAAGATGTACTTAATATTAAATTTCAATTATATATAAAGCTCTGACCCCTGATAATATTTTACAACACATGTTACCTACCTGCTTTATTAAGTTGAAGATTTTCATTCATGGCTTCCGCCAAATCTTCCAAAATTTTGGTTTCGCCTTGATCAGAAGATAAATCAGATGAATCACCTTGATTCAAATCCAAAAACTTAGGTGAATAGTCAAAACTACCTGAAATCAGTAAAATAATAATAATTTAATCTTATTAAATTAACAACTATATTTTTAGAATTAATTTCTTAAGATTTTAAATTAAAATAAATTTGAATAGAGTTTCAAAAATTAATTTTTAATCTTATATAATTTCCTATTTACTATGTTAAATTTGGAACTTAACATATAATTAATATTCATATAAATTTAATTAAAAAATACTCTATACGAAAATTAACATCAATAATTTTTAAAAAAAATTGTGTAAAAAATCAAAGTAATTTTGAATATAATTTATAGAATACATGATTTTATCAATATAAATAAATGTAGACATTTAACACAACAGAAGTTATTAAATATAATAAAACTTTTTTTTTTAATTTTTTTTTTTTTTTAACGTAGGAGTTGGTATGTATCAGCGGTTGGCTCTAAGCCCTTATTTGTTCTCTGTGTTAATGAATCAAATTAAGAAAAACATACAGGATAAGGTACCATTGTTTATGATGTTTGCAGATGATGTAGTTTTAGTAGGAGCAAATTTGGAATAAGATAATTATAGGTTGAATCAGTAGAGGTTAGCCCTTGGAGGAAAAGGATTGAGAATTAGTAGAAATAAAACAAAATATATAGAGTATGACTTTGGTGGAAGATACCAAGAAGTTGATGGTATGAGGAGACCAATGACAATAAGTGGTGATGTGATAGGTGAAGTTGAGAACTGTATGAAAGTACAGGTGTTTTGGCATTGACATAGATGTAAAACAAGATTAAGTGCGGTTGGATAAATGGAGAAAAGCATTGGGCAATTTATGGGACAAGAGAATTCCAATGAGGCTGAAAGGTAAATTTTATATGGATGTAGTGAGATCAATTATGTTATAAGATTCAGAGTGTTGGGCGGTAGACAGGAGTATAGAAGAGAGCGTAAGTATTGTGGAAATGAGAATATTTAGATAGATGAGTGAAGTGCCAAAAGAAAATAGTATAAGGAACAAATATATGAGAGATAGTATTGGTGTAGCGTCTATAATGGACAAATATGAGATAAAATAGACCGAGATGGTTTGGGCATATGATGAGAAGGGTAGAAACAAATACAGTAAGAGCGGTTATGCAAATTAATGTTGAAGGGAAAAGAAAAAGAAGACTAAAAAAGAGATGGTTGGATACAATTGAAAATTATGTAAGGGCCATTGGTGTATGCGAAGGAGATATAGAAAATCGAAACAAGTAGAGGTTTAGGACAATAGAAGCCGATCCCAAATAATTGGGTGAAAGGCGATAGAGAAGAAAAATAAAAAGAAAAATTTATATTAGACAACAGTAATTAATTCTATAACAATGTACATAGTAAGCGAAATCTACACTGATATACAACTTTAAAGTACAGTAGAACTTCGATTATTCATACTCATTTTTCCAAAAATGTATCAAAACTAAAGCAATATACTTTATGTAGGTTATAGATGATAAATAATATTAATTTAATAAACAATGTATAAACAATATTAAAAATATATTTATGACAGTAATTCCATAATTTTCCTACCCTTCTGTGAGAAGAAATCTTTTGACTTCTGTTATGTCATGAATTCAATAAAAAATAGGAGTGAAGTAAGAAAAATAATTTCAAACCTCATAAAATGAAGACTGATTACTTCAAATATCAAATCCTGATAGTTTTAAAACGTAAGATGTACTTATATAACATAGGTTAAATAAAATATAATAAAAAAAAATTAAATTAAAATTTGTTAAGTAAAAAGTTTTGATTAAACCGTGTATTTTATTTATCCATATAACTATCCGCCCCCAATAATCCAGGTTCTACTATATTTTATATACTACCATAGAATAATATAGAAATCTAAAACAAAAATATTTTATAAAATAAGTTAAACAAATTTAACTTATTCAATTACATAACAATAAAATGTTATAAAAAAAATTGTTAAAATTACTTATTAAAATACAATCATTTAAATTAGTAAAGTGACCCATATACAATACCGGTATTATAATTATATTTACATATAGAAATTTAACTATTCTTATTTTATAATGTTTTTAACACATCCATACATACTATTTGAACCACACTCTATAAACACTGGAGTGCTTTGTCTGCTAATATTAGCATGTGGGACACTGACTGGATTTGATTTTAACAGTCCATTTTCTATTTCATTCAATTGAGTATCAGATTCAGACCTCCTTTAACATAATTTATAATTAAATTTTAATTTTATATCTATATTTATATTATATGTATATTTATAAAATTATATGTATTAATATTTAATAAAATGTATTGTTTACCCCAATGTTGAACCACAAGTTTTAAATACAAATTGTGGTCCCATCCAAAGGCGACGGTGAGGGCCTGCATGTGTACTTATTTCAACCTATGAATACAATATACATATATTAAATTAACTAGAACAAAAGTGAAAAGATTTTTATTCTACTTGAGATAGCCAACGTTCATCAATGCTTTCAAAAGAATTCTTTTCAGAATTATTTGTTGTGTTTGTGACTGGATAATGTACACAGAGATCTAATAATGGATTACCCCGATTCAAAGGAGGGGTAATAGTAGATGCATGAAGAGGTGGTTTATACAAATTCCATTCAGTTTTAGGTTCGATATTTAATTCTATCATTGTATCATCAAATATTTTTTCTTTGGAAACAGCTAATTATAAAAATCAATAGTATTTAAATATTCAATAAGACTAATTAGTTTAAATTAATTTTTAAAATAATACTCACAATTTGAATGCATAGGATACATATCATATTGTGTAAGAATTCCATTGCATGTCATTACATACAAAGAATCGGCAATATTTTTCTTGGGATTGTAATTTACATTAGATATTTCTCTAGCCATAGAAGTATCCAATACACGACCATGAGAAAAACATGTAGACAATTTTATAGATGTTGTTATTCCAGTCTCATCTGGTTTTAATTTGTTACTTTGTGATCGAATTTGGCACAGTGAATTTATGATAATTGAGTGTGGTACTGATGATACACAAGGATTAGAATATGGCAACACAATTTGAGAGTTCTGTATTGATTCTGTCATTACAGGGCTGTTTCGACCATCAGTTATTAATCCAGCACTCCGATGAAATCTAAAGTTTTATTGTTAAAATTAAAAATATTTCTAATAAAGTAGACATTTAAATCTTTATTCTTTATTCTAATATTTTAAATTCCAATTTACCTTGATAATTTATTTACAATGTGTGGTGTTGAATGAGTTCGTAAACCAATAGGTCCACCATAAGGTGTAATTGGAAATATATGAGTTGTGCCTCTAAGTGAACTTACAGCCACCCATCTTGAATCACTCGAAAATTGAATATCTTGAATTTTAGCTGTTGTGTCACCTCTGATAGTTAAAATAAAAATTAAAATGTAATTTTATTGGCATAAAATTAAAAATTATATAATCAAAGCTTCAATATTTTTTTACCTATGCAATGTATATAAATGATGAACAGCCGCAAATGAAGAACCTAATATACTAGGGTGTATTTTGAACACATTAAATCTATGACCATTTTTATCAGCAGTAACTAACATAAGCCCAGATTGATCAAAATTCAAGGCGACAATAGCTTCACAATGAGCAGTAAAATGAGCAACAATATCAGGACCTTGGGGTGTATTTTCTTTTAACACTTTATTCTATAACAAACAGTTTAAAACAAAATTATTTAAATTAAATAATTATTATAAAAAAAAGTATTTTTCCATACTTTAATATCAATGATAGTAATGATGCCTGGATTCATTTGATTAGAATCATTTACAACTGATATATTATATGATGAAGTTGAATTATGCACCCCTGTTATACTATTTGCTACGGAGCCACTTAAGTCCCTTAAACTTTGGCTCAATGATTTTGCAGCATGTAAAACAGTAGCTGTATATGAATGACCATTTTCACCCTCATACCCTCCAGTTGAACGATTCCAAGAGACCAACTTTTGATCTGCATATGCCATCCATCTATAATAAAATTAAAGTTGTCAAATATATATGTAGTAAAAATATTACAAATACACAGATTAGAATATTTTTCAAAAACCTAGTTCCCAATGCAATTGGATTTGATTTTATCCCAGGACTAGGATAACACGTAGTAATTGTTGTTATATCTTCCACAGTAAGAGCATCAAACACAGCAATACGTTCAACAAATATAACTGCTATGGCAAATCGATTTACAGCTATATCCACAACAGAATTTTTAAATTTTATTGTTTTCACCTAAAAACCATTAAAAATGTAACAGTAAAAACTTTAGGTTTAAATATAAATTCGGTGTAACATACCACATCTCCACATGTTAATGAAATAAAACTAACAGAACAAAATTGAGGACCTGCTCCTGAATTATCACATAGTGCAATTAATGGTCTTTTGTGAGCAAATGGATCTTGTCGAAATTTCAACTCAGGTAAAGGCGAAGGTATAAATTTTAAAACCTTAACAACTCCTTGGGACCAAGATAAAGTTTCATATGCTTCACCATTGGCACCAATATACCATACCTAAAATTAAATTGATACAAGTTATAAGATATATATAGTTTTAAGGTAATATTGATTTACCACACAATTATTAATATACTTAGCTTATCTATTTTTAAAAATATATAACAAGTATAATTTTAAATACCAAACATGTTTATAACTAACAAGTTTTTTTTTGTGTATTTATTTTGAAAAATCAACAATCTGTTACATATAGTTACAATAAGATAGGTGAGATATACATAAAAGATGCTGATGACATGGTTAAAGACGTTATCCATTGATAACGCTTCAGCGTATATTATTAAATTATTTACACAATAAATTATAGAAGAAAGAGAAAAAAAATTTAAAAAAAAAAACATAATAAAATTAAATTACTATAATTACAAATGAAAAAAGTTCCAGGGCCATTGCTGTTTTAGCCTTAGTGGAGGATTTCTTTGAAATAAGTAGGAGTAGAGACTTAAGATAAGATTGGATTGGTATGTTGGAGAAGGCGATAGTAAAATTTTGTGAAGAATTATACAGAATTTTTAGTTCATTATGAATTGTGAAATTTGATATGTACAAATAGGCATTATTAATGAGATGGAGTACTTTTGTTTGGAATATTTGAATTTTATTTGTACTGGATTTTTTAGCAGTTCCCCAGAGCTAGATGCCATAAGTCCAGATAGATTTTAAGATGAGATTGTATACAGTGTTTTTAGTTTTTAAGTTGAGTTTAGATGATTTATTAAGAATATTTTTAAGTACAGAGAATCTATAATTCAGTGTTATAATTAACAAGTAAAAATTATTTTAAGAACAAAATACACATTACAATTTTTGATCATACATTTAACATATATTTTAAGTAATAAAATGTATCTCTTATTTTAGATTAAATAAATGCAATTTAAAATTTTTTTTTATACTCATCAATTTCAGAAACTTTTACAGTACTATAACATTTAATAAATGAACATTTTAACAAAATTTAAGGGCCATTATGATAGGTGACTATTTTGAAATAAATGGTTTCCAATTCTAACTCAATTACAAACAGTTATATTATCCATATATAACTATATATATATGTATATAGCTATATGAAAAATAAAAAATTATTATTCATTATTTAAGATTACTAATTGTTACATGGTTTGTGTAACTACATTTTTTATATATTTTAAAAATTATTATTGTTAACTAATATTTTCCTTAAATATTTATTTTTAGTCAAAATATGCCGTTGAATTATTTGGTACCTGAAAAATATTTGATATTTTTTAGTATATTTCACTATGTTTCTATAATTTTTACTTTAATATGGTCTCTACTTTTTAATATTAACTAAATAAAATAATAAAAATTAAATCAAAATAAAAAAATGAATTTTAAAATAAATAAAATCTCGTAAACATTTTGAAATAATGATATTTAGCACGTATATATATTATTAAAAAAAAAAAAATATATATATATATATAATTTTAATTTTAATTTCTTAATAAATAATTTCTCACTAACAAATATTGTGATTTTACTACTGATATATTTATTAAACAACAAATTTTTAAAATTAAAAGAAATAATAATAAAAGATATAATTGAAATTGTGGACCGATTTATGTTTATACATTTATGTATCAATTAACATGTAATCGAATTCACATTTTTTTATATTTTATATAGAAATCTATACATAAAAATAAATTTAATACCTATTATGATCAATGTACATTAAATATAAATATGATTTAAATTAAACATTACTTTAATATTTATTTGGTAAAATTAAACATTAACATTGTATTAGTTTTTCAAGTTCATATATACAAAAATTGTTTATATAATGAGGTTGGTATGAAAGACAAATAATTTAAAATAAAAAATAAATGTAATATCATACATATAAATATTAAAATCAAAAATTATAAATAATAAAAATAATTTAATAAAATTATAATATTAGGTATATTAAAATTGATCATATAATCTATAACATTTGATAAGACAAAATTGGATCATATTTTTTATCCTTATCACAAAAATGTACATATTTTGAACTGAACTATTATCCAAAATTTATCTTATGCATAATGGTATACTACAAGAAAGTTATAGGTCATAACCATTTAAATTATTGTTTAAAATAAGACAGTATAATACCACTAGAATACCTTTATTGTTTAACAATGAAAAAATAAAATACTTAATATCATTCTTGAAACTTGTTATTAATTGGTTCATTATTTAAAGAAAAAATTGTTTTTTATTTATATTGAAAAATCATACTTGAACACCGAATCCATAACCCAGAATAAGAAGTATTGGTGATACACCTGACATGAGTGATTCATCATTTTCAAAATTTGAAGGGAATTCATTTGCTTCCAAAGTTTCCAACTGAGTCCATAAAATTGTTTCTCTATTATCTACATTTAAAACATTAGAATACCCCTAAAACAAAAACACATATTAATTTTATTAATAACATAAACTACCATACAACTAACCAATTGAAACCATTCAAAACAACGGTAAGTATGCATCATGTAATAAATTACTTACATGAGGAACGACATCTTGAATAAATCCAGCAACACTGTCAATAATTGATCGATCAACAACAGGCCCTGGCAGTACTATTTTGCCAATCGAATTTTTGGACGCTTTACAAGGAGAATTCGCAGACATTTTGAAGACGTTGATTTTATCGGATATGGTTTCGTAAGGTCAGCATAGTGAACGAAAACATATTTGTCAATCGCCTCAAATGTCATAAGACATTGTATTCATGGATGTATTACGTCGCCATAATATAAAATAGATACATACAGGTTAGAGGAAAAGCGAAGTAAACAGGCGAAAAAATCAGACCTAGATGACCAGCTGGTCGTAATATTTTATATTTTTTAAACAAAATATCATTTCAATTCCATTGCCAAACAACAACAATAGCCACAGATATTATTATAACTGCGACTTGTTTGTTATCAACGTAATCAATGTACGTTTTTTGTTATTGTTATCAAGGCTATCAGCTGGTACGTTGCTGCGCAGTAAATAGAAATCGAACGGTTACTGGCAACTGCTTCGGCAACGATCGCGTCACATTAATGCACTTCGCTTTCGATGTTAATTTATGTCCGTTGCATTGCTAACTGACGAGATAAAAATTATTATTACGTAAACACCGCATTATGTGAAGTGCAAGCCGGTTGGAAGTGTGCAAGTACCTGTTTGCCAGCAAATTGACAAGTTTGCTGCGTACGACCCGAAGTTGATTACCTACACTCAATGTTATGTATATGCAATCTATGTGCAAACACTGAACAGCGAACGACTTATGAATGTGCAACAAGCTGTAATGATGACAAAAACGCAATATGTTAAATAAAGTTCTGCACTCATCAACGGCGAATGCACTTGTTCCGCTGAGTGTTTAAATTCGTTTTTATGTTTTTAGTACTATTACGACTTACATATTCGAATTACTACCAAAGTAGTTATTACATAACGTTGCAGTTATCCGAATTTCAAACCGTATAAGGCGTATAGAATTCATACTATATATATGTATACTTCCACTGTGGTTCTATATTAATACCATTTTGACTGGTTTACAATGTGCCCTTGGAAACATTGGTGCCCACATAGGGTACCAAGTGATGCAATCGCACTGATTTCTCGTGGGTCCAGGGTCGGCGAGAACTTTTGAAGGTATTGGGGCTGATCGGTTCCAGGACCTCTTTACTTGCACTGTTTGGAAAATATATACATACTGCTTGTACATACTTTAGTAAAATAAAAATAATCGAACTCGCATCTCATTCGTTACGGTGAATGAAATTATAAAAAAATGTTGTATAAAAGACTGAAACGACCGGCCCCAGGACTCTAGCTCACCCTGCCCCACCCTTTCGCCGGCCCTGCGTGGTATATGCTATTAAGTTAATATGTTATATAACTACTATGTAAAAATAAATTATAATGAAGTAATAGATACATTTTGTAAAACAAATCAACACATATTCAATGCCTTAAATTAAATCACTGAACTAAACTATTATTTACGAGTATGTTACAGTATTATCTTTGACATTTTTAATAATCAATAAGTTATTAAATTTGAATAACTGGCCTGAGCAAAACCAACCAATGTAGATTTTTAGATTTTTTTTTTCTAAAATTTTAAATTCAAACACTTATTAAAAAAATGATTTAAGGATATTTACAATATTTTTAAATTTATTTAAGGTAAACATGGATTTTTAAGAAAAATGATTTCAATCAAATGAATATGGTCTTATGGATGTAGACCAAAATAAATTTGAGGGCCCTATAATTATAAATACATTGGTTTATGGAAAACCCGTGGGCGTCACTGCTTGGAAATGTAATTGAATAGTTGACATCGGTTATTTCGACGAAAAGTTGTTGGTCTTCTGGACATTTCGAACATTATTCGGCTAAAAATAATGTATGTTTTTGCTTAATCACTTATTTTCTTTGAGCGCCAATTATCCCTTTCTCCGCGATACCAATTTAATTAATTTGTAGTATGTATGTCCTAAAGTAAATCTAATTTTCTAATCCAATAACTATAACGGTTATGATAAACAACTTCATATGCCAAAGCCTTAATCTACAGTTTTATTTTACAATAATAGGTAGAAACACTGAATACCAAGTCTCATCTTTGTATTTTATGTTTAAGAAACTCAAAAGTCAATTTAAAAAAAAAAATCAAAAATAATATTGTAATAATAAATTTAATTAATTAAATAAATTAAATATAATATAATATTATGTATGTTTTTTATTTTATTAGTTTAATAACATTCCATTACATTTTGTTGAAATTAAAATTAAATAAAAAGAGCCAACGGCACGTAGTGTTCCCAAGCGGTCACCCATCCAAGTACTAACTACGCCCGACGTTGCTTAACTTCAGTGATCAGACGAGAACTGGTGTATTCAACGTGGTATGGTCGTTGGCGATGAATACTAACTTTTATTTAAAATTTAACTGAACTATAAATCAAGATTTCTGTTATTAATCACCATATCAGTAAAACATTATCAATGATATATTAAACAGCAGTGCTCGACTTGAAGAGGGGCGGAGTACCCCAATTAATATTCAGATATGTTAGCGTCTCTCTACTATTATTAGGTACATTATAATAATAATGCTTAGCAAATTTTTAAGACCTTCTTTTTTTAAACTAAACAGAGTCCCCCTTCTTTAATTTTGTCAAATCGAGCACTGTTGAACAGACGAGACAAAAAGACCCAAACTATTAGTATGTTCTTAAAAAAAATGTAATATGAATACTTGTCGAATGGTTACGAAAATTAGTTTTCATTATAAGTATAATTTGAAATCAATGGAATTTGGTTGTTGTGTATGAAAATATTTATTTTTTAATCCTGGATTATGATAATTTGGGGCTCGAGGCCAAACATTTTTAAGGGCCCATAACCATAATAAAAATATTGGTAACCCACACATAAATATATTTCTGAGACAAAAAAAAATTATTTTCTAATTTATAAATTTATTTCTTATATTTATATATTTCTTATTTTTTTTATATGTAGTATATATTAAATAAGTATATTTGATTTCTGTAAATCGACGTTTTACTTTTTTTATTGATGTAAACCAGTATGATTACCTTGTATTTATTGCCTAATTTCTAAATGAAGTATTTTTACATTTTTTTTTTTTTAATTTTTACAAATAATTCATATTTTGTCTAACTATTTATTATAAATTTTTATAGTATAAATTATATTAAAAAATTAACCATTTTAGGGTTATCTTGAAGAGTAATTACTAAACATAAATTTAACTGAAGAACAAAACAATGTATATAAATAGTATAGGATACAACAACTTAAATTCTATAATGAACACATGAGAAATTGCCACCCATGACTTCTACATCATTATATCATAATATGAAGAAAATAGTTTTAATAATTCATTTTTGACTACGTTTAATGTTGATAATTTCATTTACAAGGATTTTTGCAACTGAAATTATGGATCTTTAATTTATTTCTATCACATAATCCAAATTTAAGTCACCAAGTCCAAATTTTTTTCAACTTTTATGTATCTAAATATCGAGAAAAAACCAACAGTTCCAATGGTTAGTTCTAATAGTTCCAGTTCTCTATAATAAAAATTAACTTAGTTATTATTTCTATGATATGATCTAAATTGACACAAAAAGTGTGTTGAAAAAATTCATGAGATGTATTTTTTCACACTTTTGCATCGCGTAAATGACAACCCTACAACTGCACGATCAACTTTGACTTAAGCAAATACTAAAATGCTAAATAATGTAAGACAAACAATTATCAATAATTTTTATCAGTCTTCATTGCACAGGGAAAAAATAGAAAGCCATTGTAGGTATTGAGAGTTTAATATAAGTATAATATTCTGTCGCTACAACTCATAGAATTTATTACTTGATGCTACAATTGATTACTTTTTTTTTTTTTTCGTAATTAATGGCACAATAATTTCAACGTAAAAGTGATAATTTTGATAACAGATGATTAATTTTTGGTTTGTCATATGTAAATCCTTCAAAGTCATTTGATGATAACAGATCGTTCTAAATATCAAGAGATAAGAGATACATGGAGTAATTAGACTATAGATACTAAAAATTTCATTTTTCCATCTTATTTTCTCTAATTGAATCGTTATAATTAAAAATGGCAAATTGGAACACATTATTGCCTACTCAATTTAAACCAACTTCTTTCATTGCGGCATTAAGAGCATTTTTAGGTGGAGTAAGTAAACACCCTTGATTATTACTTTATTTAGTATGCCTTGGTTTTAGAAATTAACAAATGCAACTAAAGTCGTATGAACCCACTTTAAATATGTCTTTATACCTAATAATTGTCATTCCAATAACAATCCATTATTTATCTCAATTATTTTTAAATATGTTTTTTACAAATGTATACACATCAGAATGTAATCTATTTGTTATATTAAGATAGTAATAACTTTTTACACGCTTAAAAAATTTGTACCTTACAGTAATTAATGATATATTTCTAAAAATATTAACTTATCTTTATTTTCTGATTTTGATGTGTACACAAAGTCATTAATTTATCAGACTACATATTTCCCTTTACTAATTCCCTTTATAATCCCACATTAACCTTTCCTTTGATCATTTTTAAAATTGATTATTATAACAGTTCATACTTTAATTTATTACAAGTATAAACCATTTAGTAAATCTTGTTATATATTTTAAATATCACGTTTATAATGATTATCAACTTCTATATGAGATTAATATAATCTATCAAAAATAAACATATTTATATATATTCTGTCTAATATATATCAACTATTAGTATTTTAGTATTCTAAATTGAGAAATACATACATTCCCAAAGATATCAAGGTTAACTAAAATAGTTATTTTTAAGTATTTCTTTTAGTTAAAAACCAACAAGTAAAGAAAATATAAATAAAGATATTAGTATAAAACTATAATAATTAAGTTACTTAAATTATATTATATAGTTTTCTTTAAGATGAAATCATCTAACATTTTTAAATAAATAAATAATATATACATTAATATATACATTATACATTATTTTAGTAATTTATTTATATTTCTTTGTAGCGAAATTTCAAACCAAATGTTCGAATGGTTGATGAAGTATCATCGCCCACACAGCCTCCACCTGATGTTCCGGGAGGACCTCATCATACAGTTTTTAACAACTATTATTGTGTACGAGATCCTCGCAGGGAAGTTGCACCTCCAAAAGTTATTTTTGAAAACACTTCAAAACAAATTGAAAATACTAAGTAATATATAAACTAAATATTAAAAACGAAATTCTTCCTACTTCTAATTATAAATACCTTGACTATTTTTAACTCCATATAGCTCTTAATCTGAATTATGTTAAATTTAAATTCAACTATTTTATCTATCATATAATAATAATAATCGTTAATAACAAAAATAAAAAAACCGTTTCTTAAGAATTGATTTATATGACCTCTATACAAAAAGTTATCCTATGAAGATTAGTTATGGTTCTTCTAGATTTCTGGACACTAATTATTCTTGCTATTATGATTAATCTATGTCAATAATCTTCAATATTTTAACTTTTATCTTTTAGTAATGCTTGTATTATTTACAGCAGATACTACTTATATTACTACTTATATTAGAACTTATAGTATTAATTATTTTAGGTATTTTATTTTTATTATTAAAATTAAAAAACAATGTTTCCTATGGAAATTAAAAATGATAGTTTAATCTTGTATTTTAAGACATATTGAATTAAGTTTTACATTTTTCTAAAACAAGTTATTCAAGTAGCGTTATTAATTCTTTTTTTTTTGGTTGTTAAAATATTCTTAACCCGTCGTACGGCGCACACATTTGGATGTCATATTTACGCGCACGGGGTAAATTTTTACCCCAAGATTATTATTCACTATAGTTTGTTATAATTTGAACTTCATTGATCTATTTTTCTTGTTTGCTAATCATATTTACTTTAAGAATCATCGAATAACTCGATCGGATTTAATTTTAGTCTATTTTTAAAAAAGATAATAGTATTTTCCTGTAGTTAATATGGCTTCGACGCCAATATATTACGAGTATGTTCGCTTTTGATAACACCGTATTATGACTAAATATTATTGAACATTTCTAAGTAATAAGTTAAAAATATGTGCTTGTGAGAGATATACAGAGATTCTACTGCATACAGAGTGATTAAAAAATATTATGATTCTAAAAAACAAAAACCGGGGGTAAATAATTTCCAGATATCACTGTATACGACTTTAATACGTTCTAGATAAAACAAAATGTACAAAAACAACATGAAACAACAAACAGTATATTTATAGGTGTATTATTTAAAGCTACTGAGGAGGACAAACACCTAAATACATTATTTTATTACCTATATACATTATAAATAAATCTGGGGTAATTATTTACCCCATGGGCCGTACGACGGTTTAAAATTATTAATTTTTAAACACAAATATCAAAAATTTTACTTTTTAAAATATTTGATATATATGCTCCAATTATATGCTTATATCCTTATTTTTTTTATTTTGTAATATTCTGAATTATTCTATGTTATAGGTCACTAGAATCTAGCAGTCCAACAAAATTGCCTCTTCCTGGAAAAGTTTTTCACTGGGATTGAAATTGTGTATTGTAATATATTCATCGTAGTGAGAATGTTTAGAATTATACCTATGATGTAATTAATAGTCTAAATAAACAAATTTTTTAAAAATGATAATTTTTTTTTATCAATTTTATAAAAATAAATATTAAATCAATAAATAATATTAATTAATTATTATCAATGTAATCTTATTGTTTTCATTATTTTTATAAAATATTTTAATGACAATCATCTTTTAAATATTGAGTTGTAGTATAAGTTAAAAAAGATTTAAGATAAATTGTAATTTTTCTAAATTTCCCTTCTAATGAACTACTGATGTTCACAGTTTTTTTTTTTTTTTTTTTTTATATCATGAAATAATATTTAAAAGAACACTTACATAAAAACTTAAGAAGATGTTACACCTGTATATATTGTCTCCCTTTCAAAAATTTATTGTTAATATATTAATACTAAATATATATAAATAAATGATTAAATTTTGTTTATTTTCAACTAAGTACATAGTCAAATTTCTTATTAAGTAAATATTGACTACTCATTGAAAAATGTTACAAAATATTAATATTATATATAACTACTCATAAATAACATAATTCGAAATCAAGAAATTAGTTTTAAATGTTTAATAAAGTTGGTTAACATATTTTTATGGATCTTGCAAAAACTAAATAGCAATTAAAACGTTACATATTTCAAGTTTATAGTTACATAATTTTATAATTTTATTATTAATATTCTACATTTTCTTATAAAATATGATTATTTAATTAAAATATTACAACTAAAATATAATTTATTCTAAGTATTGAATTTAAAAAAACAATATGTTTTTATAATGGCTTTAACTACATATATACTTTTATGTTAACATTTAATACCAAATATAATTTATTTTAATTAACTATTTAACGAGTAATAATTAAAACAAAATCAATTGTATATAAATGACTTATGATAAATCTTTAGAATATTATTTAAAATTATTTGATATTTAATTTTTTATACGTATTATGAATGAATAATTTATGATAAATAAATATTAAACAATTTGTATTTATATTACAAATTGTTCAGATGATTCAATGAGAGACGAAAATTATATTATTTTAAAATGTTTTATGTGTGTATAATTATTATGACATTTTTACTGTATGATAAAACCAGATTTCAATTTTTTATATTATTAAATATTAAGAAAGAGAAAACCATTTAAGTTATAACTGAAGATTTTTATCTATTTAAGAATAATTAAGTGGATTACACACTATGTGATTCGAACGCGCGCGTCCGTGCTTTAAAAACGTCGTGATTAATCGCTCAAATTGAAATATGCCATTTTATATGGGCTGTATTCACACAGAACAATGAGACTCGTCGAATCGTTCATTAATCGCTCACTTTTTTTTTTTGCACATCTAGAGCAGGGGTCTTCAACCCGCGACCCGTTTTGTCATAATCTGTGGTCCACGATTATATTTAAAATTTAGCATATATCTTTTCTATTTCCATAAAATTATAACGGCTAAACCATTTCTTTCGGAAAAATTGAAAAACGTGTGATAAGATAAATTAGGGTACCTACCTAAATATAAATGTTGGCTGATGCCGGTTCGTAACCAATCGTGAAACGAGTATAAAACTCGTTTATAATAAATGTTAATTTCTTATACTTTCTTCGTAATTTTTGTACTGTCGGTGAGTGAAAAACGTAAAGTCACGCTTTTCAAGAAAAATTATCCAATAATTATTTTTTTATTCAATTTAAAGAAAAAGCTGTGTGTTTAATTTGTCAAGAATGTATTGCAGTGATAAAAGAGTACATCATGAAAAAACATTATGATACCAAACATGTAACTAAATATGATATGATACAAGGACAACTTCGAATTGACAAACTTGCATCATCAATGAAAAATAAACGATCAGTTTTTAAGTTTAAAAAAAATTTAATTGATTCAGAAGTAAGTGTCAAAGCTAGTTATATCATAGTACAAAAAATGTCCACTAAATCAAAACCCTTTATGGATGGTGAGTTTATAGAAGAGTGCATAGAGGCGGCCTCTGGAATCTTGAGTCCAGCACAAAAACTTTTTTTCAAATTGAGTTTATCAAGAGTAACTGTATCAAAGCGTATACAAAAACGAATAACTGATATTGAGAGTAGTTACCCTAAAATAACGCCTTTCTAAATATATTTCATATTTGCTGGTCCTAGACGAGAGTACATACAGATTTGCTCAGTTAGCAATTTTTGTTAGAAATATTGATTCTTATTTTAATATCACTGAAGCCGCAATTTTTCTAACGAAAGATAACAAAAAGTTGTGATATTTTTAATGCATTAAAATTGACATTTAGTTATTTTGACATTAAATTAAATAACCTTTCTGGAGTTATAACAGATGAAGCCCCATCAATGATTGGAAAAAATGAAGGTCTCGTAACGCTAATTAAAAAAGAAATAAGTGCATATGGAGCTTTACAACTGATGCGATACCATTGCAATATTCACCAAGAAAATGTATGCGCAAAATCTGTAAGTTTTCAAACTATTATGAAAGATATTGTGAAAATAGTAAATTTTATTAGATCAAGAGTAGTGAATCATAGAAAGTTTAAAAACTTTCTAATTTAATTGATTATTATTTAAATAAACGCTGAACAAGGTGATGTAATCTATTTTTCTGGTATTTTGTTGGCTCAGTAGAGGAAAAGGGGTTTTAATTTAAAAGAAATGATATTTTTTAATATACTGTAAGTAAAGGAAAACAATTTAAACAACTTAAAGATTCTGAATGAAAAAATAATTTTCGACTATTTAACGAATATTACATTGGACTTGAATGAATTGAATATCACTTACTACGTCAAAACCAATTAATTCATAATTTATTCGACCATATCAAATCTTTCGAAAATAAACTGCTGTTGTGGGAAATCCAACTAAAAAATAATAGTACGTCTCACTTGTCATGTTTGACAAAATACAATTTTACTTCAACGGAAAAATACGCTAATAAAAATAAAAATAATATAATATGGAAATATGTCAAATATCGTATTAATGTCAAATGACAAAAAAAATATAATACTGAAAAAATAGTTAAAAACTACATGTAAAGTATACGGAATTTAAAAATTAAATATTTGTTAATTCTTTTCTTTGATGCTGGTTACATAAATTACATAGTTTATTGTCAGCCGTAAAAGGTTTAATAGTACAAAGTGTCCGCATTTCGCACTTTTAATGTCTGACCGTACAAAGAAACCTAGAACCAACTTGCGCACAGTTGTTGACATATTCACAATCCTCGGATAAATCTAAATTTATTTTTTGTAGAGACTTGCATATAGAAAATGTTATTGCAAATAGTTTATCTATAATGTAAAGTAACAAGGAAGAGTGGACATAGCGTGGAAGAATAATGTGAAATCAATCTTAGGGTTAACTACTAAAGAAGAAGAATGTACAATTAAATTACAAACGAACTCGAGGTAATGGTTTTTGAAAGTTGAAATGCAAATTGCAATGTTTTTAAATTATGATGTTGTTAGAGTTCCTTTTATTTGTTATTGGAAAATCTAGTTCTTTAAATCATAAAAAGATGTCGTGACATTTAACCCAGCGGATTTCACACATTTTAAGTGTTTTGGTGGCCTGGAATTAGATCTTATATGAACATTTTAAGAATTTTTCACCTTATCGCAGAATTAAAACTACTAATCTACTTAAATCATTTTTGGAAGGAGGAGGGTTAGAACCCGAACCCCCTCTGTATACGGGCTTATTTTACATTAATATTTTAAATATTAACTTATATAAAAATCCACTGCTATCAGAAATAAAATCCAAACAAAATATACTATTTAATAATAATCATAAATTTTTTCAGGCATTAAAACTTTGAATACTGATTAAATTAAACCTTTTCATTGTGATTTTTATATAATAATAAATAATAATAATTGTAATTAAATATAAGAATAATTACGACATTTTTAAGTCTTCGAAATTACATTCAATTTGTAAGATTATCATCCATATCACTGTGACTATAACCAGTGCCGGATTACCCATTAGACGGAATAGGCGCCCGCTTTAGGGCCTCACTCATTTAAAGGGACCTGTAAAAACGAATAACTATATTGTTTTTTATTTAATAATATCTGTATTTTATTTACGAATTTACAGTACAAAATTCATTATGAAATATAATATATATTAAGTTATGGGAGGTGTTTTATGTAGTGATAATAATAAAATTATATTGAAAAAAATAGAAATAATATAATAATTAATTTTTCTTGCAATTAAAAAAATGTAATAAACATGATTTTATTTATTGATAATAGTTGTTTATTATTAAAGCTGTTTATTTTAATTATTAGATAATTATGTTAAAAATATATATAAAAAATATTTTGTAATACCCAAAATTTTAACTGCCAAGGGCCCAAAAATGTTTAATCCGGCACTGATTACAATATGCCTATATCAATAAAATATACAATTTTACTAAAAATATTAGACCTCCTTGATTATTACTTTCTAATTTAGAGAAAATAATCTGATTAGATTTAAAGAAAAAATTTCAAGTTTAAAATTTGAATTTAAAGAATCTTGGATAAAAGAGTTCTCCAGTTTTTTTTTTAGGAAAATTCAAAAGTTAATTTTGAATGAACTCAGTAAAGTTTAATGTAATAGTTATATTTATAAAATTATTAAAATTAAATAAAAAATCCAACTACAGAAATTAAAAGGACTTAATTAAAAAAATAAATTAATATATAGTTAGAATAAAAATAAACAGAAAACGTAAAATATAACAACATTTTGCAAATTTGAATTTTCGATATAATTTACCTATTTAGTATATATGACGAAAATGTATTTAATTTCATACTAATTAGAGTACGGATTTTAAAGCAATAAAGCTGTATAAATCTTCCAAATAAGCTTAAAAAAAAGAATTAAAAATGGGTTTTAAAAAAATAAAATAAAATAATTTCCGGCATTTTTTAAATGACTGTATGGTATTACAATGAAAACCAAACTATAATTTTGAGTAGTCTATCCCGCTCAAAGGTCCCTTCCATAGGCGCAACTA